CAACAACTCCAACATATAGAGGCAAAGTACTATACGAAATATTACAATTAAATAAATACATTCCAATATCTACTGGAGAACCAATATATTAGCCAACGGACATGTTCAAGAAACCAAATTTGATTGACTTCGCAATAGTTGAAGGTATGAATAAAACACATATGTAAGCTTCCTCATGCTTTGACCTTACATCAGATCATTCACCGATAATAGTTACTCTAAACTCTACTGTGCACAAAACTGTAAACAATTTCACAATAACAGACTGGAAAAAATATACAAGCTTCCAGAAGAAACACTTTGTCCAATCGAAGCAACGGATTACTCGTTATGAAAAGCGACAAAAAGTAAATAGACCAACCTCATTCCTTCTACCCATACGTGAAAACTGTGGAAAATGGGTCAGATCGGACGAGGAAAAAATGGCAACTTTTGCAAATCATCTAAGCGAAGTGTTCAAACCACATCAACGTATAATCACTGAGCAAGAAAAAGAAATCTTACTAGAAGATCGTAATTCACAGGATAACACTCCATCGAAACCAGTTAAACTAAAGGAAGTACTCAAAATCATTGAGAACATAAATAATAAAAAAGCCCTTGGTTATGATATCATTACAGGAAAAATGATTAAAAAGCTTCCCACGATAGCATTTCGATATACGAGGTGTGTTCAAAAAGTAAGGTGACTTTTCAAATTTCACGGGCAACGTACTTTCGATTATCGATTTTTTTGTTTTGTTATGTTGGTACACTCTTCCCGAACATTTGCACCAAGTTTCAAGTGTATAGCATTTTTTGTTTGGTTGTGAGAGGCGTAAAGGTTATAAGTGTTTTGCGTGCCCGGCGATTTCTTGCTATCGAAAAATATGGATCAAAGGATTTGCATCAAATTTTGTGTAAAAAATAAAATAAAGTGCTCCGAAACACTTGAAATGTTGACGGTGGCATACGGTGAAACTGTTCTGAGTAAAAAAAATGTTTACAAGTGGTACAAACTCTTCCAAGATGGCCGGGAAGATGCTAATGACGAGCCTCGCTCTGGACGTCCAAGTACGTCAACAACTGATGAAAACGATCAAGCAGTGAAAAAAATTGTTCTGGAAAATCGTCGAATCACTATCAGAGTAGTTGCTGAGGATGTTGGTATATCGCTTGGCTCGTGCCATGAAATTTTTTCTAAAGTTTTGGGCATGAGACGTGTGTCAGCGAAGTTTGTTCCGAAATTGCTAAATTTTGACCAAAAGAACCGTCGCATGAGCATCGCTCAAGAACTGTTGAATGACGTCAACGACGACCCAGATTTACTCAAAAGGGTCATAACTGGTGACGAATCATGGGTATATGGTTATGATATCGAAACCAAAGTCCAATCGTCCCAATGGAAGAGCCCAGATGAGCCAAGACCGAAAAAAGCACGCCAAGTTCGATCAAATGTCAAAGTTTTGCTCACTGTTTTCTTCGATTACCATGGCGTGGTGCATCAGGAGTTCTTGTCATATGGACGTACGGTCAATAAACAGTATTATCTTGAAGTTATGCGCCGTTTGCGAGAAACAATACGAAGAAAACGCCCAGAATTGTGGAAAAGCAATTCATGGCTTTTGCATCACGATAATGCCCCTGCTCACTCATCTTTGCTTGTGAGAGATTTTTTGGCGAAAAACAACACCATAATCATACCTCAGCCACCATATTCACCGGATTAGGCCCCATGTGATTTTTTCTTGTTCCTAAAACTAAAGAGACCTATGAAAGGACGGAGATTTGCATCGATTGAAGAGATAAAGACTGCATCGCTGGAAGAGCTCAAGGCTATACCGAAAAGTGCTTATGAGAAGTGCTTTCAGGATTGGAAAAACCGTTGGCATAAGTGTATTGTATCTGAGGGGGATTACTTTGAAGGGGATAACATAAATATTGATAAATAAATAAATATTTTTTCTTAAAAATACAAAGTCACCTTACTTTTTGAACACACCTCGTATAACAATAATATTTAATGCATGCTTCCGTTATTGCTATTTACCTTCTCAATAGAAAGTAGCACAGATTATTTTAATACCTAGACCCGGTAAAGAAAATGAACTTGTGACCTAATACAGACCAATTAGTCTACTGCCTGTACTCTGAAAAATCTATGAAAAAATCATACCAGCAAGAATAAATCAAATCGTAATAGATAGAAAACTTATCCCGGACTACTAAATCGGATTCAGAAGTCATTATTCCACGATCGAACAAGTGAAAAGAATAGTATCAACAGAAAGGAAATCCATAGAAAACAAACTGTACTGTACGGGCATATTTCTCAACGTAGGGGGATTTTTTCCCAAATGTTATAGTGATTTACCTCAATCTTACCTGCAAGACAGAACATTTCAGATAAAAATCAATAAAAAAGTATCAACACGGCAAGTAATAAAAGCAGGTGTACAACAGGGTAGTATTTTAGGACCAACGCTCTACCTGCTATACACATCGGACCTACCAAAGCCTCCAAATATTCTGACAGTAACATATCCAGACGATACAGCAATATTAACAACACATCAAGAAACAACAATAGCATGGGAAACACTATAAAATTACGTTAATAACTATCTCCAAAACTGGCTAAATGCGTGGAGAATAATAGTAAACGAGAGTAAATCAATTCACACCACATTTACTCTCCGTTAAAATACGTGTCCACATATTTCGTTCAATGACAAATACATACGCAGAAAGACCATGTCAAATCCTTAGGTATACATCTGGATAGAAGGTTGACATGGAAAGAACATATATTCACAAAGAGGAAACAACTAGGATTGAAATGGAGGAAAATGTACTAGCTAATTGAAGAAAAATTAGAGCTAACAATTGAAAATAAACTTCTACTATAGAAAGCAGTATTCAAGCCAGTCTGGACTCGGTCCAGATTGATTGACCAATCGGTCAATCAGAATTGGCAATATAATGACTAAACTTATCCTAATCGCATAATGATCTTTGCGTATAAAATCTCGTGATGTGACTTTTGAAACCACGAGCTGTTATCAAAGTCAGAAAGTCAGAATGATTTCTGTAGCTTTCTTCCAAAGTCAATTTTTATGGTACTTGCAAGAGAAGATGCCCGCAATAGTATCGCGATAGCTAGACAATTTTTGTAATTTCTCCAAGAAATTGTGCCTACCCTCTGCCCCAGGTATACGTTTTTATAATTCTGTGATTCTGCTACTATCTCCCTCCTCAATGCAGACTATACTTCCCTTCATTCGACTTTACCTATTCTCTGTTAGCGCTTACACCCACTCATACTGGGACATTGTTCAAACAGTGGCCGCTAGGAACGCCACCGTCGACTTTTCTGGATGGTAATATTGGTAATACACATTACACATACACAGTTTTAATAATCTCCCTCAGAGTTGGGCGATACTGTCAAAAAGCTTCCAGCAGTTAACTTCAGACCTCACAATTTTCGTAAAGTGGCAGCGAAAATTGTGAAGTCTGATTGTCTGAAGCATGGAGACTGTATACAGGAGGCGAGTCAGAGACCTTTTATCTAGGCAACTTTCTCTTTTTCTCGGAGGGAATTAGCCGATTTTAGCGCCGCGCGCTGTAGTTAGTGAACCACTAGAAGACTTACAATATGAGTGCAGCTTATCGACCATGGAGATGTATACAGTCTTCATGTTATCGACCATGGTACTGTAGGACCATATTTATAACGTGATCAATACAGACGATCTATTGATATCAAACGTGTCTGGCTGGGTCGTCCGTGAAATAATCAAGTCCAACGAGTGCGAAAATTTCAATCTGCATTTAGAATCGTTCTCCAATGATGCTACATGCCATCAACTTACAAATGCTAGAGAGAGATTTGGTGGCTTAATTAAGTCTAGCGACAATGTTTTTGAATTAATTAAGATGGTTGAAAATTGTGTGACCTTTATAATTGAGTGTAATAATGGCATGACTAGAGATAGTATGCAGTTCATTGTTCAAAAAATAATAAAAACGAATTCTCTAGCGTTTGTTGATTGTGCAGATCATGTAATAAAATTAACATACAAATTCATAATTTACTATTTAGAAAGACGAATGAAAATGGCGTGCAAGTGACACAATATTGTCCATGATGTGCAAAAAAATTAAAATCTAAAGAACTACGCAAACAGTCAAAATATTAATTTCAGTTTTTATATTGATTATTTAATTGTTTATATTAAATATATGCGGGAATATCATCATCAATCAAACCCCACACATAATACCTCATCTAAACGTAGAATTTCTCGTTATTTCCAAATCCGGAATCAAAAATAGGGGTTCCTATTCAAAAAATCACTGTGACCTTCAAATAACCTTGAAAATCATTCTAAGTGTGTGTGCGTGTGTGTAACAATCTCATTTAAACAAACTTCTAAAACTTTTTCGAAAAATTTAGTTATTATATATATATTTTTTTTTTCAAGATAGGAAATTCAACGTTATTCACTCAACTTTGAAAATGTACATTTACGAACAAAATAGCAAGACTTTTTTATCGTAAAACAGTATTCTTTTTCTATAAAATTATTTTATCCCTTTTTATAAAAAAAGATATTCGCGTGCGGGTTATCTTCGTCACCTACAGTACCGTGGTCGATAACATTGAGAATGTATACGTCTCCATGATCGATAAGCTGCGCTCATATTGTAAGTCTTCTAGTAGTTCACTAACTACCGCACGCAGCGCTAAAATCGGCTAATTACTTTGGGACTGTGACTTGGGTTTGCCGAACGCTTTAACACGGGCGGTATAGGCCTGCCTCGCCTCCTGTATACAGTCTCCAATGGTTTGAAGTCAACTACTGGAAGCTTTTTGACAGAATCGCCCAACCCTGAACCTCCCTTCTAATCTCTGCTAGAACATACGAATATCTAACCAAGTAGTCCACGGATCGAAAATCAAACGCTATTTATAATTAAAGAGAAGTTAAGTATTTTTCAAGTACAATTTCATAATTGTGAGATGCATTTCAAGAGCCATTTTCTATCTCATTAGAAGATTTTATTTCTTTATACTGTTGATCAACTTCAAGAATTTCACGTATTTTGTGTGTCTATTCATTAATTGCATCAAATCAAAATGCCTTTTTATCAATTCAATTCGTCTACAGGTCGTCTGAAGAAATCTGCTTATTTACAACCACTTTATCCTACTGTAAGTTGGCGATAAGATTTCGTTATTTAACATATTATAAATATAATAAATTTATAATGTTATATAATACTGATAATATCAGAGCCTTAATAATTCAGTTGTTCCGGAGTATTAGAAAATTTAACCAAGAATAATTAAAACAATACTGTTATATTCTCTGTTACATATTTTTGTGATTTTTCTCAATACATGTGGAGCACTTGTTTTACTTAAGTTGATTTAACGAATAAAGTATTTATGTAACAACTCCGATCATTTTTTTAACTTTAACTAAGTATTATGTAATACTCACTTTGTACAATGAATATATGTACACTAAATGTTTCATTGAAATATTGAGTAATTGTATTTTATGTGTATCATAATTATTATCGATTTTATTAATCTTCTATACAATTTCTCAATTATAAAAGATATGATTATTGAAAATAGAAAATTTTGTTTATAATTTTAAATTTACACTCAAGCTTCCTATACAGGTAAGTTTGTTTTATTATCAAATAATAAAGTCAAAGAAAGTTTTTAGGAATAAGAAAATAAAAATCCTATTCATAGGATGAATATTTTTTTAATTAAGTTGTTAGAATAGATTTTGCACATTCTTTGTATCTGGTTTATACCCTTCAACTTATGATGGTATGAAGATCAGAGTTTCTAAGAATTTATGTTGAGGAACTATTAATATAGCTAAGTTTTAAGTTTTAACACATTTTATGATTTGAGTTCTAAATAGTTTTAGGAAATGTGTACATGTATTTTAATAAATTTTAATTTATTAATAAATTAATTTAATTTTATAATAAATTAAAATATACATAAAAAAATCTAAAATTTTCAAATTTGTCACAAATTCAATTGATCAAAGTAAACATAAATTAATTTATAGTGTCATTTTTAGTTTTGTTATAAACTATTCTAATTTTTTCTACCAAAAACCATCAGATAAAATCTCTCTTAAGAAATCAACTGAAAATTAGATGTGTTAAGATTTCTAAATGCCAAAGTAATGTTAACATGTGTTGTTTGATATTATAGTTACAATCTCTAGACAACAATCTCTAGACAACAATCTTTAGAGAACGGAAAATCTCTATAAATTCTTTTCATGGATTAGTATCTTTTCTAAGATCTCATAATAGGGTATACGCATCAGTGATCGTAGACTTAATACAGACTTTCAATTTACATTGATGAAAAATTTTACTTAGCATGCAAAAAAATATTAGAAGTTTGAAAAAAATTTATATTTCATAATTAGTTGGACATATATTTCATTTGTCAGGATTTGTGCTAATGGTCAGCTTCTAACATTTTAATTCAAAGTAACTTATTATCTTGTGTAAAAAGAAATGTTGACCATTTATTAATTATAATTAAGTGACAATGGATATTTAATGCATTTTCTATAAATAAATACATAAAAGTTACTGTTATATTGATGTAAAAAAATTTGAAGATACTTTTATTATTTAGTTTTATATATTTTTGTCCAATTTTTGTTCAATATATGAGCCGCTTATTTTGAAAGTGGCCTAACTCCATTCATCTTCAAATCGAGATATTGAAAGTTTTGCATTAGAATGAATTTAAAAATATACGTTTAATTAATTCGGAAAACTTATGTGTAAAAAATGTATCGTATTTTCTCTGAATATAAGCAATCTGAAGTGCGTCACTGATAAATAACATGAAGTTGTACATGTAACCATTGTAAGCGGCAGAAAATTGAAAAACGGAGTTAGATCACTTTCAAAATAAATGACTCATATTTATTTATATAATATTATAACCTTCATAGCTAAGAAATATGCAACTTCAATCGACAAAAGCCTGATACAGATTTTTAAAATTTAAAATTTGTTCATTACTACGTTAATGGTTAACTTACCAAGTATGTATATATCAAATGTAAGTTTTAAGTATTCATTAAAAAAATTATAGAAGTGATTTGGTGATATGGCATTACACTGAGGCCCTGATTCTTAACCAATCATGGTTAATAACTTTTGAACTGTTGCCTATATTTTTTTAAATATCAATAGTTTCAAAATTAAATAAGCTATATTTTGTGAAAGTTTTCCGAAATTTTAAAGAAGTTTTCTGTATTGTTTGTCCAAAGTAAATAAGAAAAATTGACTTCTTATGACAAAATATTTATAAACAATTATATGTATTATAAAACTTTCACTAAATAAAGCTAATTCAATTCTGAAGTGATTGATTTCATAAAAAATATAGATAGCTAAATTATACATATTTGTGATGTTGACCAACAACTTAGTAATAACAAAATTTGAAATTTCGAAAATTCTTAACAGGTTTTTGTAGATCGAAGTATAGTTCTAATTTTTTTATTTCAATATATCAATAGCTTTTATAACAATAACAAAATGAATTTGAAAAGGGTTTTTTTCATTATGCAGAGCGATCAGTGGAAATTACTGAGCAAGAGAATATCTTCAACAAATCCTAGACAAATAATTTCATAATAAGTAATAATTTTTATATTTTCTTGACATTTAAAATGTTTTTGAAAGCTGGAATAGTAAGGATTCATAAAATAATTGCATTTTAAGAATTCTTGTTGTTCTTGTTTATTGAAGGTAAAACTAAAATGTGGTAGACTACTAACATCTTTACTTATTTATTAAAAAAAATAAAAATGTATTTAACATTCTAGGATCTCATATGAAATCTCAGTATAGAAAACGCAATTAAGAAGAAAGAAGATTAATTATGAAGATTTTATATGTATAAAATTATCTACACAGCGAGAGGTTGTTTTCGCATGCGGAAAAAATGTTTCTTTCGAGTCGCGCACGATAATGTTATTCTTTCGACACTTTTTCGCATGCGATAAAAGCTGTCGATAACTTGAAGCGACACTGTTTATTTCGCTTTCGTGTACGAAAAACAAGGAAACTTTTTTGACTCATTTTTGGCAGAATAAAAAGTTAAATGAAGGTTTCGTTAACAGTCATAGTTCTTTTTTAACCGTTTTATATTATTTTAGATAAATCTCAAAAAAATTTAATAAATTTCCTATTTTTAAATTTACTTTGCATCAATGTCATGATACTTTTTTTTTTATTTATTTAAGCAAATTGAATCCTATTGGGTTATTTTGCTGTCATGATACGTAATATTATTTGTAAAGTTTTAAAAGTAATGAAATCTATATAAAAATGGCATGCATGCTGAAAATTATTTTCAGATTTCTTATACAAATAAAATAAATATGTATAAAATGACACAATAAAAAAAAAAAAAAAAACAGATCAACAAAAATTTAAAAATGTGTTTGATATTCTACTTTTCAACTATTAGTCACACACATTTAATATATGATATTCATTTTCTTCATAGAAATATTAGTCAAAAGTCATTAATGACGGTAATGGAAATTTATATTATTTTATTACCAGGCCTTCCTTTATGAGTGAACTATATTACTTTGAAATATGAAAATTTATTTGATTTTTAAGAAAACTATTATTTACTAATAATTCCTTTGTATGCTTAAATTCAATTTATACCTGATATACTACTGTGGGCAAAAAGTAAGGTGAATTTGTTTGTAAAATGAAAAATCTTTATTTATTCTTCTACATCAATGTCATCCCCTTCGAAGTAATCCCCTCCCGATAAAATACACTTATGCCAACGTTTTTTCCAATCCTCGAAACATGCCAAATAGTCCCTTTCCGGTATAGCCATCAGCGCCTTCTTCGATTCAGCTCTTATCTCCTCAATCGACTCGAAACGCGTTCCCCGGAGTGGTCTCTTGAGTTTTGGGAATAGCCAGAAGTCACACGGAGCCAAATCAGGTGAATACGGTGGTTGCGGAACGATATGCGTCGAATTTTTGGCGAAATGGTCACGAAGAACGAGTGCAGTGTGAGATGGTGCATTATCGTGATGCAAAAACCAAGAGTTGGTGGCCCATAATTCTGGTCTTTTTAGACGAATTGCTTAACGCAAACGACGCATAACGCTCAAATAATATTCCTTATTAACAGTTTGGCCGGGTGGAAGGAATTCATAGTGCACCACACCACGAAAATCGAAGAAAACTGTCATCATGAACTTGATTTTTGAACGACTTTGACGTGCTCTTTTCGGTCTGGCCTCGCCTTTAGCACGATATTCACTTGATTGGTCGGTTGTTTCAGGGTCGTAAGCATAAATCCAAGTCTCATCTCCCGTAATCATGCATTTGAGCTTGTCCTGATAGTCAGAAAGCATTGTTTCACACACATCAACGCGGCGACTTTTTTGCAAGAAATTGAGCGTTTTCGGTACCAAACGAGATTTGACTTTTCGTAGGCCCAAATGGTCTTTCAAAATTGTTTTCACAGATCCTTCTGATATTCCGATCATATCAGTAAGGTCTCTAACAGTCAACCGACGATTGTCGAGCACTAATTCCTTCACTTTATTGACGTGTTGGTCATCTGTTGACGTCGATGGTCGTCCGGAGCGCTCCAAGTCATCAACACGTTCTCGACCCTCTTTGAAGTCTTTGTACCACTTATAAACATTTTTCTGCGACATGGTAGAATCACCAAAGGCCTTCCGCAACATCCTCAACGTTTCCGCAGCCGAAATTTCATTCCGCAAACAAAATTTGATGGCACTTCTTTGCTCAATTAAATCAGACATTGTAAAAATCGAAACATGCACTCTTGGTCGTTTGGTAAACACAAGCGTAAATATATTACTGATGATGACATTGACATGAAATTTGTCCCAGATGTCATTCGCAGTCCTACCAACTCAAGAAAAAAAGAACTAGCCCGAAATGTTAAGCCCGCGAAGTTTAAATTGAAAATTCACCTTACTTTTTGCCCACAGTAGTAATAATAGTCATGCGAATGGAGCCGTAATTGTACCTTTCGTGTACGCCGTGGCCCGAATCGTAATTGTTCTACATATAAATTTTTAGCCTGTAAATTAGAAACTTCTCATTTCATAGTAAATAGTGTATTTTTGCAAAGAGG